AATCGAGGCCTGTTTGATAATTAGCCTTGTCGTTTAGTTTTGAGCATGTACATAATTTTTAATTTCTGTCGTCTTTTCTTCTTCTTTTAGTAACTAAAATCCTTCTTTATATAGTTGAGTTTATTCATCTCCCTTACTCGTGGCAGTAGTATATTAGTACTTGTATTTTTAGTTCGTAGAGTTATATTTTTACATGTTATCTCTTTCGCTTCGGTTATTTTACTATATCATTGTTGTTATTATTTGTTGTTATTGCTCCTTTTCATTTTCGCCCTTGAGCTGAAGGTCTTCGGAAACAGTCTCTTTATCTCTACGAGGGTAGGAGTAAGATATGCGTACATACTACCCTTTCTCCAGACCCCACTTGTCGGATTTACACGGGGTATATTATTATTATTGATCTACTATCCAGAATTCACTAGTTCAACTAATTTGAATTCGTGTCATATGAACCAATTGAGAAAGAAGTGCTTCCAATCAGAGATTTTTCTCAATTCCAAGGGTTCAAACTCGAAACCTCTGATAATAACATGTCTATCCTGCTTGTTTATCCTGAAATTGAATTTAATTTATATGCATTAGTAGTGCAAAATATTTACGCATATATGGTTAAATTGTGGAAAACATGTAACTGTTTATAAATAAGCCTAATGTCGTAGCTTTATATTAAAAAATAAATGTGGCCTGCTTTAATAGATAAAAGTACGTACACTAATACTGCAACTTTTCTACAGTATATTCGCATGGATTCCCCTGTGAGGGACATGGCTATAATCACATGCAATCCTGTTACCCGTGACCCCTCCATTACTAGACAACTCTTTTTCTTTTTGTTTACCATATGGTATCCGGTACCCGCATTGGAGCCCGACTATATTCGGATTCGCGCCGCATAGGACCCCATATGAGGGGAAGCGCTCCCTACCAAGGATTTTTCCATATTCAGAGCTCGTACTCGAGACCTCTGGTTAAGGAAAGAGCAGTCTTATCCGCTCCACCACATCCGTTGGTCAGACAACTCACTAATCACATATTCATTTCTTTTAGTGCTAATGTTTTTCCCAGCCAATTAAACATCGACAATGGGTTCTTCTATTTGAAAACGNAACGGGTTTATCTGGCGGATAATATGGATATCCATATTATCCATGGCTTCTTAAATATGATCACTTATGAGAGAATTCCTAGTCTTCCAAACTTGAGGAACTCCAATTTGAGGATTTACAAAGGTAAAAGTTAAACACATTAGTTATCCACTGGTTATCTATTTGGTTAACCATTTTCTAAGTGGATAATATGGTTCTTTATCCATATTCGACCCGTTTTTAAATGGTTCATTATCCAACCCATTTTTTTATGGATGATATGAGTGGATAACTGTTTTCTTTTAATCATTTTGCTACCTCTACCTCAAAAAAATATTTTCTACTACCTAATCAAACACCAACAAATAAATGTAAAAATCACTTATTTTCCAAAAAAAAAAAAAAAAATTCCCTACATGTTCAAAGTTGTTCTTCTGCAAAAAAAAAATTAATTGGTTTCCCCACCTCCACACTCTTCATGGCTCCTCATTAATTAATTTGATAAAGGTTCCAATTGTTTTCAGTGTTATATACCAACTAAGTTGCACACAAAATTTGAGAAAATCATTCTTGACATATGTGTATGTGTATCCTTTTTTTTAGCAAAGCATAAGCTGGATAGAGACCTTGCCTTAAAATATCGCCCAAGTTCTATGAACTAAGTTTTTGGTTGAAACTAGCAATGTTGATTAGTACTATCATATGTTATTCACGTGCCCAAAAAGAATAAAACATAAAATCCCACGTTCTGTTCATATGATATTCACGTGTGTCTTTACCATACAATTCTTGGCCAAAATCCCTTTATAATATGTCCAAAAAAAAAGTGGTGAACGAATAAAAGAAGGGACTATCACGTGATATTGCAATTACAAATTCATATTTTCCTCTCATTGAAAACGAGACTTGATTTTGGGGGTAGTAGCTAAAAGATTAGAAAAAGAAAAAAAAATATGCAACATGATAATTAATTCCCTCTTGAGAAATATGGAGATTTTCTCCTCTGTACTATTAACTTTCTTATGATATTTGAGGTCCCTATTTATTTGTGTTTTTCATTTTATTCAGGTAATGCATAGAAAAGTAATTCCAGTAGCACAGTATGATAACGACTATATATGAGAATGATTTTTTTTTTTTTAAATTTGGTTTTGACTTCACAGTGTAATACTAGTATAACATCGGGGTATTATTACTTTTAGTCGTCGCCAGAAACTATTAAAAAATCGCATAAAGATCCGAACAAATGAAGGGAAAGAAAGATATAATAAGCTTATCCAGTCAGTCGAGAATTTTAAACATAATTATTTTTAATAAAAAAGAAAATAAAAAAACAAGAGAAGAAAGAGGAAATCAGAATTTTCCTAGAAATTAATTATATGAATTAATTATACACGGAATTCCAATTTTTGTTCTCGACCTAGCTAAAAGTAAAGTTGAACTGAATTTTCCAAACAGGAAATCATCAGATTTAGGACTTCTTATCATTTAAAGACTACTTAATAAGAAATTATCAATAGTTTGAATATATATTTTTGTCACAGATGATAACACGAATTACAAATACGTACCAATTACCATCAAAGAGAGATTAAATGGAGACCAAAAAAAAAAACAATTAATGAGATTAACATATGTTTAGCTCGGAACCGAGATTTGATTAAACTTAATTAATTGTACTCCCTCCGTCTCATATTATGTGTCGTATTTTTCTTTTACACGTTCCTTAAAGAATATTAATTAGGAAAGGGATTGGACTATTTTATCCTCATTTATGGCATAAGATATAATCTCTTTTTATTGATTATTTTTTCTATTTATGTATTATCTCCATCTTCAAGAACAATTATTACTAAGGGTAAAAAAGGAAAAAAATAATCAGTTTTTTCTTGAACTTCTAAAATGATAAATAATTTGAGATAACTATTTTTAGTCACTACAACTGTATGAGATGGAGGGAGTAATAACTAAAAGTCTTTCATCGGCAAAATTTAGAACCTTTAACTAAAATTTATCCTAGGTAAAAGAATACCTAAAATTGCTCGGCAATTGGAAAGGGTACAACATTTCATTGTTGCTCAATGGGGGACCCTTAGCTTGCTCTTGTCCTACTCTCATGCACATAACCAGACACGTGTCTACTTGCAAAAGGAATTCACATAAGAAAAACAAAAAAAAAAGAAAAAAAACTTTCACATGATATTACTCCCTAGTCTACTTTAAGTGATTTTTGGTTATTTTTACATATATTAATTATTAAAGAATCTACCTTTTAGTATTAATTAATAATATAATTTATCATATTAACCTTCATTTGTCATTGAAATATAATAAATACTCCTAGGCTCTTTACTCCAAGGGCAACTTTGATTTTTTCTTTTAATTCTTTCTTAATATTTGAAAAAAAAAACAAGAATTTGTGAACAACAAAAAAAAGAGCCTAAAAATCACTTAAAGTGGACCGAAGGGAATAATTAGGAAAGGAAGAGTCAAAATTTGAACTTTATAGATTCTAATTTTTTAGGATAGCAAGATCATGCGGTATTGGTAACTGAATTTTAAAAGTAATTTTTGTACATATTTAGTGATTTTCATAATATAAATATAATAATTTTGAATTAAATTAAAATTACTATATTCGATCAAACCCGTACGTCACCTTCTAGCTCCCCGTTAATTAAGTTATCTTTCACCAAGACGATCGCCACCCCCTCTTTCACCATCCTCTTGTCCGAGCGACAAGAATGAAAGAAACTTTCGTCATGCACTACAACATTATATACGAGGGCAAATGTAGCATCGTAGGGACGAATTTAATCAAATTCATAACTTTAGCACATGATCTAAATTTATGTGTAAAAATTTATTAAAATTACAATAAATAGATATGAATTCATAATTTTAAAAATATAATGGGTTGATCACGCCCAACTATGCCTTATAAAAAGGACTAAGCGGTCGCTGCAAATATAATTCGGTTTACAAGTCCGGAGTCGAATCCCATAGAGAACTAAGGTTTAGCTACAGCTGTTCACTATCACCAAGAAGACAAGCTTGAACAATTCCTAACTTATAGATATTAAGATTCTTGTGTTTAACTACTTAACTAACAAATTAAAATAGTAAATTAACAACTAACGATACTGAGCGTTAGAGAAAAGATTAAGGAGGTCTAGAGTTATGATTTCCCCTATTGTCGGAATCCTTCCCGCTATGTCTTCTATAATTTCGCCTAAGTATTCTCTACCGATCATGAGCACTCTTATTACCGTAAATCTCTCCCGAGTAATTACGATAATTTACTAGACGCACTCTCCCGAGCTACGCTAGCTGGCTTTTAATACAGCTCACTTCAGATCGCACCCAAGGCTTCGTTATCCCTAATCCCGCCTTTAAACCCTCGGTTATTGATCCCTCATATAATCTGGGAGTGGTGTTGTTCAACAATTACCTAGATATGCACTCTCTCTCGAGTTATGCATACTAAATAGGCACAGCTAATTGAGAGCTCTTCAA